AAAAACTCTTGTGCTTAACACCACAGTAAGTGTGTCCATTCTGGGGGGGTGGGGGGTTGCTAGTATACCTGTTAACTTCCCTCTGTAACATCCCCAAGGCTCGGGGATTCTGCCATTGCTGGCTCCTGCAGTGGATTCTGAAATGCTTGTTCTATAAATCCAGCTCTCTGTTTTGTTTGTTACATCTTCTCTTTAATTTTATCCATGCTTTATTTTTCCCTGTTTGCATGCATAAATCCCCAGTAGTATAGCAAACCAATAAAAATGGAACTATAAAACTGCAGAGTAATAGGGTGACTCTACATAAAATGGAGGAAGATGGAAGCTCTAAGGAGCTATGGTTTTTCTTTCTTAAATAGAAATTAATACAATTGAGAGGTAGTAATCTAGAGAAACAGTTTCATCTAAATGCTCTGAACTCTAGAAACTTGAATGCAGTCCTGTAAAATGGAAAATCAGTAGTTGACCCTGTAATATATAGCGCACATTTGAACATAGCAGCTCTTAGATGATGGGAAGTACTGTTCAAGTTGATTATATATTCAACAGTATGTAAACCCCCTTGAAATGCCTTGCTTTTTCTTGGCTTTTTTTTGGGGGGGGAGAGTTTAAAATATGCTGAAAAAGTCAAGGATGCCAGAATTTCTGAGCCTTGTCTGTACCCTTCCAGCATTTAACTTGTAGTTTATGGTGAAGGGCTTTTTCAAGTAACTGTAATAATTGATTGAAAACTTTCTTAACAAAACTTTACCTCGCTCCCCTAAAATGGTAGTAGTAGGGCATGTGAAGTGAGGACTAAATAGTATAGAGAAAATAATACCACTCAATGTGGTTCAAAAGGAAAGAAGCCATTTGAAAATTTCTTATTTTTGACGTGACTTCCTCCTGCTACTACTGTTTCCAAACATAGGAATTGATCAAGATGGGAAGGCGCACATACTTCTGTACATTAAATGTATGCTGAATTCAGAGTGAGGCTAAATCTTCTGTGGGTGTTATGTGGTGAGGGAGGCAAGGAAAAACTGAAGATGGTGTTGATTGGGAAGCTGAAGCAGCCATTTTGTAAACATTGATGGACTCCTAAAGGCACTGACAAATTGGGACATAACTTGCATACGTGATCATTTAATAAGTGATAAAATGTGAATCTGTAACCTCTAACTAATGATGCTTATGAGCTGTTCATATTCAGAAACAATTACACAGTTGCATGTCAGTACTGAATATTGTTGACTGAGTTTAATTTCAGTGTAATACACAAACTAGAATCAACAAGGATGGTGATTTAAATTCTAATGCATAGGAGTCTACTTAATTCGCGGTGAGACAAAGCAGTTTTCATGGCTTGGTTGCAGCACAAAGGCCGTTTCGTGGGCATTTCCCAGCAGCTCCACCTCTCACAGCTGATTGACAGAGGCATATTCATTTCACTGATTGGTGTCTTTACTTAGTGTATGTCAGTAGCAGACAGTAACTCGGTCACTGATTTATGGCTGCAGTGATTGTTGTGTTGTCTTTTTCTTTGTATTGGGAAAGGCATTGGGACCTTCTAAAACAGTGTGTGTATATATAAACAATACAGTGGGGCTCTTTAGGTTGATTTCATGGGAAATTGTGGCCAATGCAGAATTTCCTGCTGATCTTGAACAGTGCTGTTTTTTGTGGATTCCACAAAAACCATGAATTGGGTAGACCCCTAATAATGCATAGCATACTTGATCTGGGAGCCAATTTTAAACCGTAGTTAATCCTGCATACAGTAAAATGAAGCATCAAATTCTCGTGTATAACTTTGGTTGTATAAACAGGCTAAACTTCTGTTTGTTTTAATCTAGCGTTTCTCAAAGTGGGTCACAAGAATATTTGAAAGGGTTGTGAACAAACTTTTAAAAATGGAGAAAAACATGGGAGTCATGGCTTTTCCCTTGCAAGCTGGCAAGGTTCCAGCCTGTGAGGAGGGGCCCAAACATCTACCATGTCCCTCATGCACCCATTCCTGCCCCATGTGTTGGGGGGCAGGACTGGCCATTCATGTTTACAAATGGGTTCCAGTACAAAAAAGTTTGAGAACCACTGTCAGTTCCTGTGGGAAATGTTTAGCTACTTCCAGGAAGCAATATTTAAATCCATCTTTGAAGAGTAGAGATTTGTTGACCTAAATAAGTTTGAAATGAGAAATGGTCACACTAATAGCTTGTGTCATTTTTCCACCCCAATTAGGCCTACAGAAAACTGGCCAAGGAATATCATCCTGACAAGAATCCAAATGCGGGGGACAAAGTAAGATGATGATGTTTAAAACTAAGTTTTCTTGACACTTCTAGATGTAATGGAAGTACAAGGGTTTCTGAGGCCTGCTACTTTAGAAGCTTTATAGAATTTTTTTACAGTCTGTTCCATAGAGATACCTGTTTTAGTTGTGACAAAATGGAGACAAAGGAGGTAAGACGAGATAATAGTGAAGCAAAGTTACTGTACAGTGTGAAAAAGGCCTCTGCTCACTGCTTGTTGAGGTGACATCAGCTTGCAATACTTGGAGGTGGGGGAGATTTGAAGGGTGGTGGTAAAATCTGCAAAATGGTTGCATTTCCAGGATTATATCATTTCATTGAAGATGTTAAGTGTGGGGATTTTGTGGACAATTCAGCCAGTGTAATCAAAGTAAAATAGTTTTAGCTTTGATACATGTATTGAAATAAATTTAAGTGTGATGTTCTAAGCAAACACGTAGTAAGTCTACATGTTTTAGAACTCGGAATACAAGCTCTGAAATGGCATGGTGACCAAATGTTTTGGGATATGTGTCCATGCCCTTGTTCAGAGCTAAACTCTGAATTGTGTACTAGCACTGGCTTGGTAAAAGTATTGGGAAAAGATCTATCTATGCATATAAAGGTAACATGGCACATTCTCACTGTTCCTTTTTTAGTTCAAAGAAATAAGCTTTGCCTATGAAGTTTTATCAAATCCAGAGAAACGCGAGTTATATGACCGATATGGAGAACAGGGGCTTCGAGAAGGTAGTGGCGGAAGTGGTGGAATGGACGATATTTTCTCCCACATTTTTGGTGGTGGATTGTTCAATTTCATGGGTGGTCAGAGTAGAAGTCGCAATGGCAGAAG